AAATATGCTCCGGAGGTGGGACGCTCCCTTCAAGATGCCCGTGGTGTGGCGCCCACGTCTGAACTTCAGAAGTTACGGATAAAAAGAATGTTTTACATTTGAGGATATCGGAACAAGCATAAGAAATGAGAAACAAGCTCACTTGTAACCTTTGGTATGATCTTTAAGCCGACAGAATTTCTCTAAAAAGCACAGTTCTCTGTTTTGTAAATATGCTCTTCAGGGCGTCGTGGTTTGATTACGTCATCGTACCTTGCACGACATTGATTGGGAGACAGTTGATGGCCGTTATATCTGGGCATTGTGCTCACGAACGCCAGGCATAAATGCTTCGACAGCAAGAGAGAGAGAGAGAGAGAGAGAGGAGAGAGAGAGAGAGTGAGGAAGAGAGGAGAGAGAAGAGAGAGAGAGAGAGAGAGAGAGAGGAGAGAGAGAGGGAGAGAGAGAGAGAGAGAGATATAGAGAGAGAGAGATATATATATATATAATTATATGTGTATATATATTATATAATAATATATATATATATATATATATATTATATACTTTGTATATATACATATATATATATACATATACATATATATATATATACTTATATATATATATATATATATGTATATATATGTATGTGTATATATATATATATATATATATATATATATATATATATATATATATAAGTATATGTATGTTTGTCTTGAACGTCGCGTGACCCATGGAATGGCAGGATTTGAATGACGTTATTATGACGCCATGAATGTCAAGGTGACTGACATACCTTCCAAGAAATAATCTCCCCATTTCGTTGGCGTCTAGCTCGAAAAGAAGAGGGGCTTATCTCTTAAGGAGGGCAGGCCTATAAACAGCACCAAAAGGTCTTCCAGATGGCTTTTCCAGTTAAAAACCCATACAAAAGCGGAACAGCCCTTAAAGCAAATCACCGGACACTGAGTAGGAAATATGGAGGGGTCAAGTGGGTACTGGCCCATCGCTTTTGAGAAAGTTTATCATTAGCCCTGCGACCATGTATGAAAGGCATTAATTTAACAATTGACATCACTTACTTTCCCAGACATTCCTGCGCCTATGCCACCTCCCATACGATGCTCGTGGACTTATCTTTTTATAAGTCCATAAGTGCAACATGTGCTGCAACCATGCAATGATGTAACGTGAAGGTGATGTTAGCGTCCAAGAATATTTTGAGGATTTTTATATACATTTCTGACACGCAAGTAAGGTCAGGCAAGGTCAGGGTCACAGAGTCGCACAGTGACGTCATCGTGAGCCGTGCCGCGCCCCCAGAACACGCAGGGCAATTGTTCGACGTGCAGGCGACAGCTGCAATATCAACGGCCAAGCAAATAGTTACTTCATTCCCGAAAACATTAAACCATGTTTCGTTGTGGTATCTGCTCTCTTGCTTTTGATACAGGTCCAGTTTGGGTGCTGTAATGTCTGAGACTGTACGGAGTTCGGAGGCCGTACCGTGTCCCATGACACGCGGCTGCAGCCTGCGGTTGTGCTCGGCGGCGCAGCGTGCTGCAGGGGACCTCAGCCGCGCTAAACCAATGGGCGGCCGCCAGCGCTCAGGTGACCGGCAGGGTGGATACGCTGGGCCGGGCTGGGGAAAGTCGATCGTGGACCGTGGGTCCACGTGGTGCGAGGTACCTTGTTAAGCGGTGCTGCCTTTTCAGTGTTGTTCGTAGCGCTAAAATATCACGAGCTATGTCAAGCTGTCGCACTTAGATGGGGCATGAGCGGACGTGGAGCTGGGCGAGGAAACACAATCACCGTGGCCGCCTCGTCTAACGAGGCCGGGGATATTGGACTGCGTGTGATGTGCAGCGCTCGTATCCACTTCAACGAAGACTGTTACCGGTTCGCAAAACTCCACTGCTGCGTACGGTTCGATACTTGGCGACGATGCTTTCTAGTGCTAATTTGCGATGCATGCAAAACCAAAGGACGCTTTTAGCGCCGTAAGTGTTTCTCTACGTTGTGCCGTCGCAGAAGATGATGGGACATTGAAGAAAATAATGACATTCAGCGGGTAGTAAGGACGGTGCTTAAGGGAGTTAAGCCTGCCACGGCGAGCGACCAAGCTAAACTTGAAATTTGAGACAACAAAAGTTGGCGGCCTGGCAAACAAGGTGCGGTTGGACCGCACGACCGTCGCAGAAATCGTGTTTGGCAGATCTATGTGAATTCCCGTTTTAACTACACAGATGAGACCGGTGTGACAGATGTCAGAACTGTGCCGGTAAACAACACTAACGACTGGGTTTGCTAACATGGTTAGCAAACCCAGTCGGTCATTTGCTTGCTAACGTTAAGAATAACATTGATGTATGTATGTATATACATATATATATATATATATATATATATATATATATATATATATGTGTGTGTGTGTGTGTGTGTGTGTGTGTGTGTGTGTGTGTGTGTGTGTGTGTGTGTGTGTGTTTCAGATCGTTGTCATCTTATGTCATGAAGCCATTGTTACCTATGATAATGTATATATATGTATATATATGTATATATATATATATATATATATATATATATATATATATATATATACACATGCTTCAGACATCGTCAATTGTCATATTATAAAATGGCAAACAAACCACGATAACTCAACATCGGAGTAGATATGGGCCAATAGCATGGTCCAATGAAAGGATCTAATTAGCCCCCAGAACCTACAAAGCCTATGCAGGTACAAAGCAACAGAAATTATGGCTGGTCGCGACCCAGCGGGCCGTACTCACTTAACCATGTAGAGGATGGTGCGGTCGTGGTGCAGCCAGATGTAGTGGTTCGGGATGGTCATCTCCTGGAACGTGACCTGCTTCGCGTTCTTGAAGTAGGAGTCGGGCTGCCAGATGTGGTTGAGCCAGGAGACGGGCAGCAGCCGGTAGTCGGTGCTCATGTTGCTCGGAAACCGCAGACGGTGCTCCATCCAGCTTTGCGCGAAGAAGATGTCGGCGGCGTACGTCTGCGGGCCGAGAGGCACGGTCACCGGCAGCCGCAGCGGCCGGCCGAGCCGAGCCGGGCCGACAGAGCAAGAGAGCCCGGTCGATCGGCTTGAGAACTCTGGCTGCAAGCCGCAACGCCCTGCAGGCACAAGCCTCGCTCCACAGCGCCGCCAGGGACCGGCAGCCACACGCATGGCTGAGACGAACGACCGACACCGCGCGGTTAGCGTCCAGCTGCCGGCCGCCTATGATGTGAGATGCGGGCCGTCCCCGCGGCGGGCACGTGCCGTATTGCAATTAGAGGCGCCCCCTCGCGGGGCGGCGCGCCGCCGGCGAGGTCACTCATCCACCAGCTAGGCGGTGCACCGCGCACAAAGTGGCAGAGGTGGGATTAGGTGGGGAATAGGCAATGAGGGCTGACTTCAAATTGCCATCTTATTTGCATCATCGTCTATCCTTAATGGAGTGATTGTACGTGGTGCGGGGTCTACGGTCGAAAAATTGAAGTGTGGTATAGGTTTCACAGCAGTTCTTTCGAAGGCTTTAATTAGATATTGCGAGGGCGCATCGCAGCATGAATGATAGTCAGCATGCAAAGATGGCCTGCAGCATTTTAATTTATCCTGCAACAATGGTATTATCGGTATTCATAGCACTGGTCGCATACGTGAGGGCAATGCCTAAATTCATTTCATAAGAACAAAGCCCTGAGAGGGACTTATCAAATCTGGCACATTTTTGTGGCGTAAAACGTTATGTTTCACTTCGCTCTCTATATCCGTCCAAAGGTACCAGTTCATCGTTATTTGTGGCATTCAGGTGCGAGGGAAAACATTGCCCTAACGCTCCCAGTGATTGCCAATATTACACAGGGACGCTTTAAGACAGCGCGCCTGCCTACTGTCGCCATCATTCTCATTGGCCGACACGGTATGTCATTTATCTGTCCTCCAAACATCAGCGCAGATAAATGCGCCCAGCCTGAACAAGCGTTTTTCTAGACGTAGATCGGAACCATGGGGATGGGCGTTGGCCGTACAGGTCACCGTGTCATGGAAACGGTGATAGCTGGCTTTTGCCCATGTTCAGGACAATGCCAAATATAAGCCTTCTAAACAAAGGTAAACGCGTAAAAAATCGAAGGACTTGACCTTAAGTTCCGTTATGCTGGATTAGATAAGATTAGATTTGGTAAGGCCAGGTTGGATTAGATAAGGTTAGATAAGGTTAGGTTAGGCTTGGCTAGGCTAGGCTAGGTTAGGCTGGGTTAGGATAGGTTATGTTGGTTTAGGGTAGATTAGTTCAGGTCAGGTCAGGTTGTGCAAGGTCAGGTCAGATCAGGTTGGCTTGGAATGAATAGGCTTGCAATCATTCGTGCATTAGGGAAAACAAAACAATGTTTGTCCCGTGCTCAGCATTTTCGATGGAATCGAACTTTTCGCCTTCCCACAGTGCAACGACCAACTGTGACTCGTGTTATGTGTCGCGATGCTCCTCCGACCGCACTGGGAGTGAAAGAACAAACCGTCTCGGATTGTTTGGAAGTAGTTTCAAAACGGCTTGAGATGGTTTTGTGATTAGCACGACCATGGGTGGCCGGTTTAATACGACACTCAATCGGGCGGGGGTCAGTTGAACCCCCTGAGATATCAAAAAGTAGGAGGACTAAAATATCAAATTCACAGGATTGATAAGCCTGTTTTTGAGCACATTTGATCTCTTTTGAAGTCCCTAAGTCGTCAACCTTGGGCCATATTAAGTAAAATAAGGTCAAACACCAGATCGGTGTTTCAGACCTCCTTATGCAACCATCTTTAACCTGGCTACCTAAATTAAGCAAAAGGTCAATGGTGTTCATTTCAGGTCAGTTCCTTTCTTCGATCTTGAAAAAGTCACGATGACCAAACACCTGTGAAATTGTTTTGATTTTTTGAAAATTTTGATAGGCATCAAGAGTTACGCTAGGCGTTATGTCCCTAAGAACAAAAAAGTGTTGTATGGGATAGTTTCTGGTGCTCATTTCGAGTTCATTGATAGCAGGAACCGTATTATACATCTTCCATAGACTTCTTAGAGGTCAGAATAGGTCGCTGACCTGAAATGACCGAGGTCAACATTTTGTTTTTAGAAACATACTGCCTACCGTAATCGTGGTCGCTTATTCAAATGCAAAACTCAGAGCAGTCTTGTAGTATTTTGGTCACCATGACCTTTAAAGGGTCAAACAAGGTCACTGACCTTGAATGAGCGTGTGAACTTTTGCTTAGAATCAGCTATCTAGGTTCTGGGGGCACTTGAGAGACCAACCTGGAATTTGACCTTGTTTGACGTTTGTAAACCGTAGGTCATGACCTAGAAGCGTCAAACTTTGACCTAAATGAGTTCACATACAGGTCAACACACCCTGTAAATTCGGTGTACCCAGCTTTCTTAGTTCCCGAGATCTCAGTGGGTCAAATTACCCCTCCCCCATTTTCACACGTACCCCTAAAATCCCAGAAGCACAGCGATGTCAATGGTGGTTCGGGATTGGAGTGGGAGGGAGGCAAGTTCGAGGAGTTATCATATGCCTGGGTTCAACGTGAAAAATGGCGCATACCTCATGGTGCAAAATGCATTGATTTTACGTGATATGCTGAGACGATGCATTATTACATATCTCAGTGATATCAGAATGCCAGGGCGGACCAAGAAAGCAAATGGTGAAGGGCTGGTTTCATCCCGCCCTCTGCGACGATGCCGCTCCCCGTCCTGACGTTAGCATCGCCACGTGCCAGCCGCGGTCGCATAGTAACCCAGGTCGGCACTGGTCACACCAGAGACATTTCGAGCAGCGTGCTCCGCTTGTTAATCGGTGACCCCTTTCGTGCCCGGCATTCCAACAAAATCTATGAGGCGAGAAACATACAAACACTAAGCTGAGCATAACAATATGTAAAGTACAACGCTGAGTATAACAACGCTGAGCTATAACTCAGCTGAGCTGAGTATAACAATAAGTATAACAATAAAATAAAGGTAAGTAGTTTTCGGTTCCTTCGCTAAACGGAGTAACGACACTGTCGTTGGCGCCGACAGCGCCGCCACCAATGACGCCCCGATGAATCGTATCTCAGTGCTATGGAGTGTGTCTCGGCTCATATGTTGTGAGCTGCTGAACATGTATTTAATTGATTGACTATTTAAGTTTACCAGCTTAATTATATTCTATACATTCTCTCTATATCTATGTATGTATAGATGTTTGTATGGCATCATATATAACATTGGTAAGAAATGTTGATAATTCAATGAAATAGCAACTAATTAATAATGAGCACGGGCATGTTGGTCGTGCAACGCTGGTCCACGCATATTGGACATCAAACAGCACAGTCTCCAACTCATGACATGGGTTCAAATGTAGTCCAGTAACCGCGGGCTCAAATCTAAGCAATGCAAAATATGTCTCGATAAGTTTTTTCTTCTCTTGGATATCAGAGCACGCGTCAATTGGCAAGCCCATTGCATGAGAAGTCACCAAATCTGCTAAAGCTTTGCGGCACGTTTTCGATAGTTGGCCTTTGCACAACGTGGTTCTTCTACACATTGAAGAACTGTCTCCCTGCTTAATTCTGAAACACGCCTCCTCTCACTATCGCTGTGATTGGCAACGGTATCGGACAGGCTTAAATTTATGTCGGAAATCGGCCAAAGGCATAACTCGCCCTACGTGGATATTTAACGCCAAACCGCGCCGTCTGCTACACTATGCATCTGGCTAAAGTAATGTTCGTGAACAGACAGACAGACACTAACTTTTCTAAGATGTTTTAACACTCCCGATCACTCGGATGCACTTACAACGCTGCTGCACGCACTTAGGCCATCGAAGCAAAACAACTTAGTTGTGGTTGCCGCCAGCCTGCCCGTGCCGAGACGCACCACTGGCGTCGGTACAGATGGTCTCCAGGCACACCATACATTGTTTCGTACGTCATTGACGTACGGTGCTTGCTGATGCGTTTTCTTAACGTTCAATGGTCGTGCCAGTTCGCAGTTCTCTGCGTGTTGAAACTCTATTGTCATCGCTGTTCGAGTTCTGCGGCATGCATTCGACGGCTTGGTCTTTGCACGAACTGCCTCCCCAATATCCACGAAAAAATCTTTTCCGGCTCAAGGCCATGACATCTCCATTTCTCGAGCGCTGTGACCGACGCCGGTATTGGAGGGACGGGAATTGGTGTCGTGGATCAGCACAAGTATTGCAACTGTCAGAGTGCGCACGTTCCACGGCCATCTATGTAGCTTTCTGCATTGTGCGTCCGGTTAAAAAAATGTGCCCACACTCACACGGAAAGACAGACAGGCAAACGTGCGCTTTTAGTTTAGTTGTTTAGATGGTTCAAATTTCCGAGGAGATGCTTCTAGAAATGGTGGAAACGGCGCACTGATCGTTATTAAGCCTGGAGAAGGCCAGAGTGCCTGCTGGGGGCAGTTTTGGGCCGCAGGGTCTCATTCCTGCACCCACCGAATACAGACCCGCTAACCGTGCGCTGCGATCACGCAAGACCAGCACGACTTTACCAACCAGGTACAATACGTTGGTTTTCATTACAGGAACAACTTGTAAAGCCACCCTGATCAGTCTGCTTTCTTGGGTGCACAACTAAAACATTTGCAGCAGAAAAGGATTTGGCATGACATGACGTAAAAGGCAATTTTGGGTTATTAGTTGTGTTGTTGGATGACGCACACCAATGTCACGCCCTTTTATGTGCGCATAAAGCACCTGCCTTGGTGGGCGATTATATACGCTGCACTCGGGTGAATAGATCTATTTGACTCTACCACACTGACATCAAAAGCTGAGGGAGCTAGGAACACTCACTTCAGAGGGTAGGTAGGCCTCTATGTGATCCCGTTTGTGCAAAGTGTTTAAATCTGATCAAGCTGGAAATCAGTGTCGGAAGTGACCCAAGACCTTCTCGCGCAACCGAACGAAATCTTAACACATTTTCAAAGCCTAGTCAAGGATATCTCAGGTAAGTGGCCTGATCTTACCATTGGACGGTTCAACGGACCGAATTAACTTTAAAAATCATTTTAAAATTTGTTTAAAATAAGGTTCAAGAGCTGCTACAGAGGAAGTCTGATATATCAAGGTTTAGTCAAGATCATTCTAGGTCGGTGACTTCTCCTAACCTCCATAAAGTTATCGTAACAAACATGTCTACGTTTTTTGTCATGAGCAATTCGGAAACGCGGGACCTGTCCTTCCTAACTGGTCTAATGCCAGTAAAGTTACCTGTCATTCTTGTTACCACCGTCTAAAAGTCATATTACGATTGCATGATGCCACCTCAAGCTTTTTGTCACGTTAGGTTGAATGTTGTCACCCCATTTTTTTTCTGCCGACGACCAGGACCTGACTTTGGCTTGCTGTATATAAGCACAGTCAACGGTTAGTCAATTGTCTGCAGCTACTATGCAAAGTTTGGTATCAATATGCTGTACCCCACGGAAGTCAGCTGGGTAAACCGCGGGAGGGGGGTCTAATTGGGCCGCATCCGAGCTCTTGTTAAAGGCTCCTTTTTTTACCTATAGTGTTTTGTACTGAGGCCACTGAGATCAGATTGAGAAAACGGCAGATATATCCACAGCTGTATCACTATTAGTGGCTGTCCAAACCCTACGTTAAGCGTTTTGCTCACTTGTGAACCCCTTTCATCTCGGTTACACGCTGCTTACGCTGGGTTAAGCCCCTTCCCCTGGGTAAGCTGCGTTAGGCGTAATGCTCCGACAAAATAACATTACATTATCCTTTAATGGAGATAGAAGGTCCAAAGCAAAACGGGCGCGTTGTGTTTAATGTAAAACCAGTAGCATCCGGCCCGAAATTTAAAGGAATTAATAGATCCTTCAGCATGATTAACAGCCATCCCTAAACTTAACGATACGTTGTCCAACATTATAAGCTTTTTCTGTGACCCATTGGTTGCCCTACCTCAAAAAACTATCCCCTGCATGCGTGACATAATTTATGGACAGCCTCTTACACCTAAAATGTTCTAGCTCTTCAGATGAAAAGCAATGCCCGTTCGTGGCATCTTTCAAGCATCGAATCACCAGCTGCGACGTCACATACAGGAAAGCCACCAATTGGTTGGCGGATGCTTCATGTTCAGATGGACTCCATGCCTTGCAGTGGTCACGTAGTATGACCGTTTTACAATCACGGTTGATCGATGTACAGCTTGATTGGCAGCATTTCAACGATACCTTGCGTGTTACGCTTGATGTGGTTGTGAACAAATAGTCTAGTGGTTTATGAATATGCTTCTTTCCTTCTGCAATAAAACATTTAAGATTTAAGAAACTGTTCACGGTTGCAAGGATCATGATTTCCTCTTTTTCAAAAAGTATGTCGCGTTAAGATCGATTTAAAATCACTTTCAACGTGACAATGACTTTTCGTGAGCTAAATTTGCATAATGTTTGCGCATCCTGGAATGATTGCACTGGTCACAAATCATCCGCGCTACGTACTTAACTGTCCTTCGATGCGTATAAAACATCGGTTATTGAGCAAGAACGAGACAACAGAATACCATCTAAAACGCGCATTGAACTGAAATCCAGTTTACGGCCCTTCGCGATATCTGGCGATTCACTACGCCGCTTGGGTGAACAGATTTCTGGTAGTACATATTACTCTCGATGTTTGGGCATCATGGCCGGACGTCGGCCTCTGCTGTCAGCTTCCTCTTAAGTTATAGCTGCCATAACCTGCGCTAACGACGGTAATATAGGGCTATAACCCCGACCCGAGGTAGTGCTTTCGGGTGTGAGACCTTTAAGCGCGGCGCGTCCCAATCCCCATGGCATTCAGGGCGGCGGAGCTCAGTTTTCCGGCTGTCTGCCTCAGCGAAGCCGCAGAGGAGACCGAGTATGTCGAGGCCACCACCGCCAGCAGGTCAGTCATCCTGGTGAGGCTGCGGTCCGCTGCTGATATCGCATCGGTGCGAGGTGAGACGGGCACGTACTAGACTTGAACCATAACTATGTTTGCTGCCATGGCGTGACATCCGAATACACTATATTGCGTTTGGAGTCGTTGTTGCATTAAGATTGTGCATTATTGCAATTTGACTGAGTAAAGAAGGCACGCATACAGACACAGTGGTAGGCATCTGTGTCTTTTGCAAGCACGCAGTAAGATACGAGTAAGATAGGAGTGTCCCAAAGTGAGTAACAGATTAGCCCAAGTGCAAGTCTCCAGTACATAGGCAATAGCCAATTTGAGTCTGCATGCACACACCGAGTCTACCTCTTCAGAGGAAATAACATATTTGTTTCACGGTTCGTGCGCCAGACAACCGAAAGCAAGATTAATAAAGGCGGACCAGTACGCTTCATCACACATGAAAAGTTAAGATTACCTTTTGAAGCTACTGAATTAGGTTAGTTTTATATTCGTCTTCCTGCAAAATATCTGAATCAAATCCATAAATGAATGCCACACTTGCATAGTTATGCAGCCGCCTATGTGAAATATCGAACGGAGAATACGGCATGGTGGCATAAAAGCAATAAGCTTCTGACGAGCTTAAACAAGCATACGAGTGATGCTAATAGGAGGGCCAATTTGTTAAGGCTGTACAGTATGGCTGTTATGTCGCTTCCCTGGTCACAGTTGTTCCATTTACCAGACAAGAGTGGCTCAATCTCCATCACAGACTGCCGAAACGCAACCATAGAAGCACAAGCTACTTACCATAGACTCCTCGTTGATTGAGTCCAGTGTCATTACCGTGATGTGGAAGTAGACCACGGTTGGATGACCTGAAATAAGATGAATGCTGATTTATTCAGGACTCATTCTATCTGAATGAAAGGGCAATTATCTCGGCATGATGCATCAGCGTTAAGCACAGCTCACAACATCAGCCTAAGCATCACAAGGACAGAGAGTGGTGTAGGACTGCCCCCACGC